TAATTCACATTTAGGATACGGTACACAAATCTTAATTGGAAATGCAGTAACGCTCAATATATGATATATATGGCAGAATACATTCAGACTTTAGAAATATTCAAGTGAAATTAAAATAGTCTGACTCTCAATTAAATAAAAAAATGCACTGAACAAAATGTGCTAGTATTAGACATACAACACTAAACTATTGAGTATGACCCATACAGTCATACAGTCACTAGTTTAATATCTTAATTTTTGCAGATGAGGAAAAATTGTGCCCAATTGTGCCACCATGTGCCCAAGGTGATTTATCTCATCAGTACCTGGAGTACTGACAGAGTAGACACTCAATTAAATATTTATAAGTGAACTCAGAACCCAGTTTTTCCAATGCACGCTACCTTGCCAACCCCACATGCCATAAATTCTAGTTATTCAAAAATTACCATGAACTCCACAGTAAAGAAAAGAATTATAAAATTTTCTTCACTACTTTTATGGTGAAAAATCTAAGTATAAAAAAATTAAATGTCAAAATGATACTTGATATGGGTATGGGTGAGAGAACTCTTTCTTTCACTGTCTCATTAATACCTCAATAGAGAATCAAATCTGCATCGTATCATAAAATTAGTTATTAGCAGTCAAAAGGAATAAAAAATATATCAATTTTCTACTGTCCTTCACACACAAGATTCCTTTTAAAAGAGCATTCACTATAGAATTTCATTAAATAATCAGGTATGGTTATTTTTGAGTCACCAATTGAGATCATTCTAAGTTTATCAAGTTGGTAGAGGATGAGATAAAAACACATAAAGGTGTATTTTAATTACTAATGTAGATTACTTACAGTTTAGGTGTTGGCTGCTCATTAGGGTTCAGAACTCCTACTTCATTAACTTCATATGTCTTTTGAGTATGTGCAGATACAATTTTATCTCCTTTGGAAACCACTCCATCAAACAGCGCTATATTGGCTATCACACCCCTATACTGGTCAAAGGTGGAGTCAAATACCAAAGCTCTCAGCGGATTTTTGCGATGTGCTTTAGGACTATTAAAAATAAGTAATAATATAATAAGTAAATACACACATAGTAAATTAAAACCTTAATGTCTTTTTTTAACTCCAATATTATGCTTACTTTATTCTAGTACTTCAGAAAGATTGAAAACTGACAGCCAGAATAAAAGGATCTTTCTATAAAATAAGGTATAATGCCTATTTTTATATTAGTTTTCATTTATCCTCGAGTTTTAAGTAAATGACTTTTAAAATTACTTATGAAACTGATGAAATATATTTGTTTAGTATTAAAGCAAAGAACCACAACTACCAATGTAGTCAAGTCTCCTTATTACAATGATTGTTAAGAAGAGATCCCGTCCTCCTTGTTTTTTCTTATTTTTCTGTACTGTATTTGCCTTCTATATATTACTAAAAATAAATTTAAAATTTATTCTCATTGACCACAAGAGTATATTTCCCATATCAACTAAGCTAAAATAACAAATTAAATTGATGGTCTTTTTACCATTAAAGATAAACGAACAATATAAGAATAACAAAATACTTACGGGGGTATTCTTTCGATGATTGCCTGAAGAATACTTTCAACATTTGTTCCAAGCTTAGCAGAAATCTAAAAATATATACATAAAAAAAAAACACGTTTACTCTTAAAACTGTACTTTTTTCTTTTATCCTGGTGACAGAGCTTTATGATCAGAAAAAAAAAGAATCCTAACAGTTATCAATTTGAAGAACATAGTAAAAAGAAGCACCAAGCATATATTGGGTTGTCAGAAAAGTCATGACATATTTTTTCTCTGTTTTTCACTGCAAAAATGCATCATGACTTTTCCGACAATCCAATAGTATATTGACAAATGTCCTTCCAGTACAGTTAGGTGATTCTATGGTTCTTGGATTAAATTATAAGAGCATTCAATTATGGTGTTGAAAGAGTAGTGGACTAAGAGCTCAAAAATTCTAGGTAACAATCATGACTCTGCATGGCATGTATGACTTTGACCCATACNGCCACTTAGATGGAATACAACATTATCCAGTCATTAACCTGATATCGAAAATTTCCTATAGCCAGGTAGAAATGAATGCTTCTCTTACTATACGATAAACTCTTTATAACCAAAACAAAAATGTATTCTTTATCTTTGTGCTAGATTTAGAAGAGTATTTTTGATTACTGATTCTAATTTTTACCCTCAGTAACATACTAGTATTGATAATGTGGAGATTTTATCAAGTTAAAAAAAATATTTGTATAATAGTTCTCACGAAGTTTCATCAGTAATCACAAGGTAGTTCAAGTTTTATTGCTATTAATCAAGAAACATTGAGCTTTAACATCTAGTCAGCTAATGGTATACATGTTTCTCTTACATTGTGCATACACACACGCATACACACACACAATTTAGTTTTCCCTTGTATCCTGATTCACAACAGTACCTTTATCAATTTTGCTGATGAAAGAACAGCTTTATATGGAACAGTAGGGGTTGTCAAAATAACTGAAGCATTATATTCTTGCTCTAGTCGCTGGTTAAAAACTTCCATATGCAAAAGTCCAAGGAATCCCAATCTGAGGGAGAAAAAGTCAAACTGCAAAATGTTTATGTCCCATAAGGCTCTATTTTCTTTGATGATACTTTGTGGGGGGAGGGGTAGAGTCAAGAGTCATTCAATTCACATCATAATTAAATGCTAGCATAATTTCATTAAGTAAGATTCAAATGTTCCATTGGGATTCTATTTAAAATCGCTATAAAACTTACCCATGGAGTATGAATCCACAGTGTGAAATAGGGAGATACTGTTTTATTTCACTTTACACTAATATGAACTTATCTTCAGAAATGTCCAAGAGCAACAAACCATTTAAACTTTACTTTTCAAAAAAAATGGGACCCTTAATGTAAATGAATCTTAATCTTACCTCCAGCCAGCACCTAGGGCAAGGCTACTATCCCGATGAACTGTCACACTGGAATCATTTAAAGTCAGTTTTTCGATAGCACTCTTCAGGTTATTATATTCAGACTGATCTACAGGGTACATTCCTGAGGACACAATGATTTCTTATTATCACATGTGAAAAGCTGCCTAAAGAACTAAATATATTGCTTCCAAGATCAAAATTAATCATTTAGCTTTTAAATAACTTTCTTATATTTCATTCACCAAAATGTTGGTTTGCTTAAAAAACTATGATTAAGTTACACTGACTTCAAAATATCTTGCAAGTTTCATAGCCTTAATGAATTTACAACTGGATTCATAGTCCAAGTGATGTTTTTATGATTTTGCAATTATATAGGGAAAACAAACAAAAAAAAGAACCATGGGAATTAGGCCTAGGAAAATACAATGTTTATTTCAAGAAATAAAAGTGGAAGACATTCCACAACTACAAATGAAACTCTGTTAGCAGATAAAAAACAGAAGTAAAAATAAAAACTACACTGAACTGTTAATTTTCTGAGGCAGATTATCCATTAAAGTCAAAGATAAATTTTGCTTTTTTTAATCCACTGACAAAAACTACAAAGTTACTGATTAATCAGATTCTCTTTCATCTGACATCTCAAGTCCTTACCTCTCAAGTAGTCCTCCAAAATCCAAATGACTGACTTTGCCTAAATATGGGGGTAAACAAAGTTCATAATTCCCAATGAGAGACACTAAAGGCTAGGTGGATACCTAGCACAGAGTAACCTGATGACCTTCAATCAGGCCTTTCTTTTTCAAATGTCTGTAATTCCACACAGTAGTAAAAGGTTATGAAGTTACACATGTCAAGTGACACTATTCTCTGCCATGTCTACACTATACAATATTAAAAAAAGGCCANATAATACTATTTTAATAGTATAATACTGATTTTACTAAAGAATAAATAGACAAAGAGAGGGTAAGTAATTTACCTTGCAAGTAAGTGGTGGAACAGAAATGTGAAACGAGGCAATATGGCTTCAGAATCCAAGCTATTATCCACCCCACTACCTTTCAAAGAAAGCCACTAGGTTGTTTAAATCTGAAAACCCTGAAAGTAAAAAGCACATTTTATAATTTCCATTCTTTGTCAACATAATTTTCTAAGAAAGAGTAAAGGACACACAATTTTTAATTTATAAAAGTTCCTTATATTTTCCCACCAATTATTTATCAGATTGTGTCTTCAGAACTTTTATAAAAGCATCTTTTGGAACTTCAACATTGCCAACTTTCCTCATTTTTTTCTTTCCTTCTGCTTGTCTCTTCAAAAGTTTCATTTTTCGGGTAATATCACCACCATACTGAAAAATATTTTAAAAATTTGAAGTCTAAGTCACTCCATAGAAAAAGAATCTTACAATCGCATAGAGACATCAATACAATTACAACCTTGCAATTATTATCCACAAGTTAGACACCTGCAAAGACACCTCTTTAACCCCTTCCTAACAGATCCTAATTTTACTGCCTTCAAGAATGATAAAGGCTTGATTGTTTTTATTTACTTATTTATTTTTGGTTGGAATATCCCCAAGGAAACCCAGGACTACACTATGAATGTCAAGGAAAAATTATCAATCTTCTTACTGACCCAAGAAATTTTGGATTATATAGCTATAATGTAATATAGAAACTCACATGGGCATAAATGTGCCAGTCCCTTTGCAAAGGATTTAGGAAAAGTATCATTTAATTCTTATAATGACTGAATAATTTTTTTAATAGATGAGACAGCCAACTTGGCAAAGCAATGCAGGAGGTGGATTTCAATTCCCATACTCTTCCCACTGTTAAGACAGCCATTGCCTTCAAAGTCTTTCTGTATAAATTAGATCAACAAAATGTGTTATCCTGTTCATAATGTTATAAAATACTTTCTTAGATATTATTCCAAATAAGGAAATTTTTAAAATAAGATGAAATAATATTTAAGAACATGATCAAAATGAATATGCTATCATAGTCAAGCTGAAAGTTACCCATTTAAAAAAAAAAAACTTGGACATGAAATAATAAGTATTATAAAAACCAACAATAGAAACCAATATATTTATACCCCCTTTGATTTTAAACTCATAAAATAGATATATTACAAAGTAGAATACAGGTAGATACGTACACATTTTGCCAAAACATTTTTCCTATAGGCTTTCACACTGTAAAAGAAAATTTTGTATTAAGTAATTTCATTATACTGTTTAAAAGCATTTTCAAAGTTTCCCCTTTATTAAAGATTTAAATGATTGTGTCAGACCTATGTAAAAGTGCCATAAATAGATAGCTCAAATAGTCTTGTGTTTGATTTTCATATATTTGGGATAAAATAGAAAATGAATTCAACATGAATATCAACATGTATTTTATTAAGAATAAAAGAGGTCAAGGTTT